AGGCTTAACCATTTGCATCACCCAGGGACTCCACGCCTGAGTAAGGAGTTCACATTATAACAGTAGAGTAACAATGATAATTCATAGTATTAGAAGGCCACTCTTTTAAATAGGTAGGATTCTCTATAAAAATAATACTGCTTTTCTGGTCCACCAAGCTTCCAAGACGACATTCCCACTCGGAGCAGCCAATGCACCGATAGGACCGTACGGTCGGCCCCACCACAAGACATGACATCCCCTCTCTGACCCACAGTGCTACAGGGGAGACACAGCTCAGGAATTGTGCCTGGTCTGACCGCCACCCCCCCTCCAAAACACACACACACACACACACCAGGGCATAACATGAAGGGAGCTCAACAGAGCAGCAAAGGGAGCAAAGCAACAAAGTCCCCAAGAATTCTGAAAATAGACTTGGGACTCAGGGGACAGGGCTTGATTAGAAAACTTTCATGAGGGTCAGACAGACAGACCTGAACTATTCATGGGCTTTTTTTGCGCCCCCCCCCCATGTCTATTTATATAAGACAGGCAGAATAAATAATCCCAAAGAGAAAATGAGACTGACAGTTCTGGGGGGACAGAGGAGAGGAGGAGGTGGTGGAAAAGGAGGGAGAAGCAAACAAATTCAGGAACAAGGGAAGAACAAGAGACCAAAATTGATGATAAGGAGGGTATAGGATACCTGGTGGGGTTTGATAAAGTTCAATGTAGCCAAGAGGAAGTACAGAGAGCCAAATGAAGGTAGAACAAGATAGTGGGGCAAGAAGAAAGTAAAACGAAATAGAGGAAAGAACTAGGAGGCAAAAGACATTTATTGAGGTATAAACATAGGCATGTACATATGTAAATATATTAGTACACAACGATGGGGATATAGGTTCTATGTACATATATTTATAGGTTAAGTATTAAGGTAGCACACGGACATTGGGCCTCTACTCAAGTACTCCCTCAACACAGGAACACTTTGTTCTAATAACCTGTCATTCTGTGATGCTTACCTTCCCCACACAATCGCTGAAGACAAAATGGGCACTTAAGCTAATGTGGTGAAGAAAGCTGATGGTGCCTGGCTATTAGAAGTTACAGCATTTGGGGTCTTAAAGGCTTGAAGTAAACCAAGGGCCATCTAGCAGGAAAGCAACAAAGCTTACAAGGAAGAAGCACACGAGCCTGTGTGATCATGAGATGTCAATATGATCAAGTATCAGGCATCAGAAGACCCCAAACAAACAACCATTTCAAAGTGAATGGTGGGGGGAAGGGGGGCAGTCAGAGTGGAGACCCAAAGCCCATATGTAGACATTTGGACATCCCTTCACAGAAGGATCACAGGGAAGGGACGAGCCAGTCAGGGTGCAGCATAGCACCAGCAAAACACAGATCATTCCTCTAGTTCTTTAATACCCCACCTCACCACCTCACTATCATGACCCCGGTTCTAGCTTACAAATCTGGCCAGATCTCGACACACAGAATTCAGGACAGAAAAATCCCTCAGGACCAATCATGAGAGTAGCAATACAATGAGGGTAGGAAGAAGGTGTGGGGAGAAGGGGGAGAAAGGGTGAACCAGTCACAATGATCAATGTATGACTTACCATCCTGGAGATATAAACAACAGAAGCATGGGTGAAGGGAGACAGTAGATGATGTAAGATATGAAAATAATAATAATTTATCAAGGGATCACCATGGGTGGGAGGGAGGGATAAAAGAGGAGCTGATACCAAGAGCTCAAGTAGAAAGAAAATGTTTTGAAAATGATGATGGCAACATATGTACAAATGTGTGTGATACAACGGATGTATGGATTGTTATAAGAACTGTAAGAGTCCCAATAAAATGATTTATTAAAAATATATGTTGCTTAAAATGACATATATATACAAAATGTAATTAGCTCGTAGACTCTGTTTAGTCATCAATGGAAGTCTCAGTGTACTTATTGCAGACTCTTAGCCACTTGCAGAAGTTCTTTCTCCAAATGTAGTTTTAATACTACATTATATCTTCATAAAAGGAATTATTAGAATGATCCATTTTAACAGTTTTGGTAAAAACTTGAACTGTTTTGGTAAAACTTAAGCTTGAAGAGACATTACCATGCTTGTGAATGTGAATGTGAATTATAAATTGTGATTTTTTTTTTTACCATTTTATTAGGGGTTCATACAACTCATCACAATCCATACACACATCAATTGTGTAAAGCACATTTGTACATTCATTGCCCTCATCATTCTCAAAACATTTGCTCTCCACTTAAGCCCCCGGCATTAGGTCCTTGTGATTTTGAAAGCCCAATTAGTCTTCTTCAGTCATTAAAAGTATGAGCCAACCCAAGATGCACCTCTGTGACAATACCACCAAATGTGATCCTGGAAGCTACTTCAAATCCTTTTGGAAATAGACTGGGGAAAATGTCTAAAGTGTATCAGAAATCTTAGGCATAAGGAAACTTGCAGAGACAACAATTGGATCAATAGATTCAAAGGGACATCACAGGGCAGGCTGGCAGGAAACAGAGAGCTAACAACAATGAATTCAAGGAGGAAGAAATTCAAGGAAGTCCTGGAACTGACTGCAGTGATGGCTGCACAACAATTGGTACCAAAAAACTAAAAAAAGAAAAAGAAATGTTAGGCAATTAATGTGCTCAACTACGTAAGATACCAAATGAATAGTAGTCTCTAAAGTAGAATGATGGCTATGTAATGTGGTCACACATCAAGTGTCTAGGATTATGTTCACGTAGAGAAAGAAACTCAGATGTGTCTGTTTATGACCAAGCGTAAATAGAAGAAACCTTTGGATTGTGAAATGACATGATTCAGTGGCTCAGACCGCCATGCTGCTCTACGTAACAAGAAACCAAGAGCTCCTTATTGTGCTGCTGATTCCGTGATCTGTACACAAGGAGACCTCAGTGCTCCAGCTCCTGCTGTGTCCACTGCACACACACCTGGGTCTGTCTTTCTCTCCCCCAACCGCCTTAGTGTCATCTATCTTTATCAGATAACCCGGACAACGGCATGATCCGCTACAGTTCATTTTTCAAGACAATTACTAAGTCATCCAAACTCCAAAATAAGCAATGGCTCTATGAAAATCCCTCAACTATTAATAAAACCCGTTTCTTACCCTTTGTTCTTTACACAGGCATTTTTCAAGTGAACGTAGCTGGAAGGAAATATACCCTGTAAGGGAAAACAGAAGGTTATGGTGCTAGCTGTCTGTTACAGCAGGCTGGGCTTCACAAGGCATACGCATACAAAACGGCCACCTCACAGCAGCGATGCCAAGAACAGGGAAACCATCTCTACCACGCTCCGTAGGCTAAAATAGATGGTCGCTTAGGTCTCTCCTTTTAAAATTGTCCTTTGTTCACAAATTTAGAACTAGCCTAAATATAAATGAATAAAAATTGGATTCCAGTAGGAAAGCCTATTCTTTATAAAATGGAAAAGAAAAGTTTTAGCGATTTTCTGCAGAAATAATTTAATTGAATGAAATACTCAGTCCTTTTGCAAGATAGTGCCGCCCCCCCCTCCATTTTGGTGGTTGTTCTTTTTCTCCTCAAAAGAATTATGTTTGTATTCTAAATTATGCACTAAGAATTTGCTGCTGTAAATTGGAAGACAATATGTATATTAAGTGTTATAGAAGATCTTTGATAAAAACCCAGTAGCCATTAATCACTACGTTGCCATTCAGAAGGAACAAAAATTAAACAAAAGAAGCCATGGGAGCTTTGGAGCCTGTTATGGTTGGGAAATGACAGGGAAGGAAATTGTTCCTTTGTTCTAAATGGGAGACTGAGAAAAACAACCTAAAAAAGGAGCATCAATTTTATTGCCCATTAAGTGACAATAGGCTCTGAAGGATTTTTGATGTATAATCAGATGACAAATGCAATTAAATATTTAGGAAAACAAATGTCACTTGAATGCATTATCACCACTGTGGATCCAAGCCTAAAATAAAATGTAACACGCAAATTCAGGATAATCAACAGTGATATATACAACTCATTAATTTCTTTTCTTTCACAATTTAAATTTACCTCAGTATGATAGGATTCACAGGAGAGTAATCTTAATTAAAAAGGAAAAGTCAGAATTTGAGGTTTAGTTGTTAAAGAGAGCCAAAGTAGCAGAGAAGGTATAACAGCTATTTTTTCCTTCAAATATGCTCTAAATGAATAATTAAAATACCAAAGCTATATTTGTGTGTACCTCACAGATACCCCAAAACAACTCTATGTGAGGGCTACAACATAAGAAATTAATTATGTTTTCTTTTGTGCTTCAGGCTCCCCTAAAATAAATAAAATGGGAAAAAAGTCTAACATAGTTAGATTAGCCAGAAAGAGGAATAAGCTCAGTGAACCACTGTATTGAGTCCCTTCAGATTCACGGTGACTCGAGCTGTACAACTGCTCCCTAGGATTCCGAGGCTGTAAGTTCTACAGGAAGGGCAGCCTCATCTTTCTCCCATGGAGCAGCTGGTGGGTTCAAACTGCTTAACATCCTAATGCATAACCCACGATGTCACCAAGGTTCCTTCATGAGAGGTATATTTAACAAAAAATATTAGCATGAGTTTAGCTTACTTATAGTGTACTTTGAAATCACATAATTTTGACCTATAGTCCTAGTGGAGCCAGAATTCAAACAAATAAAGTACATCCATATAAGATATATTAGAGAATGTGAATTGAGTAGGTAGGAACAAAAGAGACATTATAACCAAGTACAAAATAAAGAAGTTTTCCTGGATTTGTTCAAAATCACCAACTAGCCACATAAAAAGCTAAAACAAAAATCCTATTTCTTCTGATTATAATTCCTGAAGTTTATACAAATATATAAAGGATAAAGAATCTTAGTGTCGGCCTGGAATTGTAAGAAGAATGAGCTTTTATAATTTAGCTTTTCCATATTTCAGATCCCCTAACCTAGAGGGACTCTTAACATGCTGCTAAAATAAACCTGTTTCTCCACACCAATATCTTACAAATGATACCACAGAAAACTTAGAGATTAAATACCTCTACACAATATCTCTTTTGGAATATGTTTTTCTCTTGCCTGGAGTTTAATTTAGCTCTCCCAGACACAAACATTTATAAAAATTTTCATTTATATATAATGAGCTTATGAAGGCCTTCCTAGCACACTTTCCAAGAGACCCATAGGACTATCATCTGAATAGGTTATTTTACCTATAATCCAAAATCAAAGGAATTTCCAAAATTATGAAAATCTTCAACTAAGAGTCTCCACTGTAATCTCAGTTATATCATGAAATAAAGCAAAATAACTAGCTCTCTAAGGTCTCATGATTATTGCTATCAGTAATAATTATTACCTTCAGATTGGGGTTTTTTAAGGCAAATCCTCTGTACCAGCCTGTGGGAAAACAAGCATTAGCATATTTCAATAAAGCATTCAATAAAATATTTTAAAGACTCACAAATCAGTTCATTGTTTGCTGATGAAATTTTACCCAATGTCTAAATATTTATAAGGTGACATTAATAATGGTAGACTAGTATTCTATTAATTCGTGTTTTAATAAGAATTGAAACAGAAACATACTAAAAATACAGAAAGATGCAAAGTACAAAGCCTGCGGAATCAAGCGCATTGGGTTGAAATTCTGGGTTTGCCGTTATCAGCTATTTAATGTTATGCAGGCTACTTGATCTCTGATCACTTCCTGCCATTTTATAAAAGGCCATGTGAATTCTCAAGATACCTCAAGAAACTGTACAAAATTCAGTCCTTTTCCCAAATTCTGTCTGCTTGACTTCAAAGCCCAGACTGTTGGCCACCAAATGAGAGCGCCCATCCAGCAGTCATGGAGTTAATTCACTCATCATTCAGCCCCAGGTCTTAGGCTTGGCTCAGTCTGAAGTCCAAAGAGGAGCAAAGCCAGGTCTCCTTGACTATTAGAAAGACTGAGCACCCTCACATCAGCACCATGTCCTAAAACTGAGCTCACCTTTATTCTTCGTCTGCCGAGTGACTGTGACTTATCCTCTGAGCTGCTCACAATTAGTTTTATAGCACTATCCTTAGGGACAAATATGCCTTTTTATAGTTAAACCAAATACAGAGGTGCCTATATATGGCTGTATGCGATTTACATCTATATGATTGTATATGATTAACACGTATGCCCCCAAACCAAACTCACGGCCATTCAGTCAATGGGATCTTGCAACGTAGAGCAGAACTGCCCTGTGGGCTCCTGAGACTGAAAGCGTGTGTGCGGGAGTAGAAAGCCTCCTCTTTCTCCCTTGGATTCTCCCACAGTTTCCTTGAAAAGTATTATTTGCCACTCTCATGCATTCAAATGTAAAAAGCAACTTGCTTATTCTGATAAGAAATTAATTACCATGAAATAAATGTTTTAAGTAAAATTTCAAAAACCAACATGTGGGCCTTGAGTTTACACATTTTGCTTCCCCAGAGTAAGTTTTCTTAAAAGAAGGGTATATTGTGATGTAACATGTGAAATACTGTTTCCTAAGGAGTCTAAGGAAATCCATATGAATTTGAGAATTTGAAATTGCTATATCTCAGAATTTATTGTACTCCATGCAAAATTATACATGAAAAACAATGATTTACAATTATTCTACAGAAATCAAAATGTTTTGAGACTGTGGAAGTGCCATGGTTCTGGTGGATTCCTGCCAAAAGGTTTTTGATTTTAAAAGAGCTCCCCTGATCTCAAGGCCCATCCACGCTCCTCTACCGATTCCGCACAGCCATCACATTTATCCAGGCCCTACACGGATACAACTGGACATGACACAGATACTTACTGTATTCTTCAAGGTATCCATTTACAGCAGACAGAATTAGCATCTATGTAATGCCAAGCTCTAACAAAATGGAATGCTTAAGGGAACACAAATTTAACTATAATGATACATGAGAATGCTATCATATTAAAAATTCCTAATAAGCAAAATCTTTTAGGAAGATAGATATTTTGGAAAATGCTAACCGGACCCGAAAACCTAGTCATTTGGTTAATCGGGTAAAGGAGCAGTCATTGTAAGATGAGATTTTTAAGAACTGGACACCCTGGAGACTTTAATGGTATCTGGAATTAATAAGATATAGACTGAGAAATTCGAAACTCATCATAAAAGTTCATATAAGATATTTCACTCACACAAAATCCCCAAGGATACATTTTTGCTTTTTAGTCTAAATTTTCTTGGGGGGAAAAACTACAGGGTCCTTTTGACTAGTGCTTTCTGGGATAGGAGCTAATATCTCTCATGGTATTAACTACCCAACTTCTGGTCAGCCATTTCTCCTCTGGACTTCTGTTTCTTCCTCTGTAAAACCAAAAGCTGTTCAGGAGTTAGCTCCTATACTCCCTTATAATTCTGGGAGGGCGGGGGGAGGAACATTCAAGTTGAGCACTGAGTCTGAAACTCCCACAGATGCGGCAACCCTCGGGTATACAGCAGACCTCGGTTGCCTTCTCGACTGGCATCCACGGCATATGAAGAAACAAGCTAAGAGAAAAGCACTCCGTGAATGACGCTTTCCCCCGAAGTCAAACAGGCAAGGACCCACTTTGCCAGCATGGTTCTCTGCGACAACAGGTGAATGAATAGAGGTGTGGGCAGAGCCTGTAGCCATTCTGAAGGACTCAGAGTCGGGCAGGTTGTGCAGAAAAGCTCACACAATGACCACTAGCCTACTTACCATCGCATTTCTCCAGGATCTGAACGGTGTCTCCAATTTCCAAAGACAGGCCATATGGGACGGTGCCCCGAAAACTGGCAATCACTGTAAGAAATGAAATAGAACACATGAAGACAATCACACCAGCCACTGATCTCTATGAAATGCCACTGACTAGGGGATGGGGGAAGGGGACGAATGAATGTACAGAGCAAATATACTCTGTAAAGTTAGAACCTGTCACACTCTTACATATTTCTCAGGGAGACAATCTTTTAAGTTGATATACTTTGTCAATAGCTTGGCCCAGTGAGTATTATAAATATGCATTTCAAAGATGTGGGATTTGCCAAAATAGTACACACAATATCAAGAATATCGTGAATGATACACGTACACAAGGACACTGGCAGAAAAGGTCCGTGGGGTAGTGGCTATATTCACTCCCCATCCGGGGAGCTGGCCCACAGGAGTTCCCTGCTGCAGGTGTGCTAGACTATAAGTGAGGTCCCCTGGAGCATGGGGTATGTGTTGGGTGCTGACCTCAATATCAGCACTTTGAAACCGCCAACTTCTCCACAGGAAGAGGAAGCTCTCCACTCCTGTAGAGTGCAGTTTACCTGTTCTCTAGGGTCACTAAGAGAGGACATTGACTCAATGACAGTGAGCTTGCTTCCTAATGTTACAGGCA